TAGAGCTCTCCACAACGAAGCTGTGGCATCACGTCTCTCGGATCTACCCTTTGATGGCTGTGCCATCATGACAAGCCTCCAGTTTCTTTACCAAAGAGCTGCTGTGGACGCAAATTTCAGCTACCATCCCCCGGTACTTTTGGGTGACTATCCACCTCCGATTAGGGCCACGGAGCGACAACTCCCGAGGTTCAATTGCTGTACCCTGGCGCAGCTAAGCAGTGGCTACTCCATGCTTCTTGGCCAGTACCAACACCGACTCGACCCGTCCACATCCGATAGCTGTCCCGACTGCGGCGTCACGCCGCATTACTGTCAGCATATCTTTGCCTCCAGCTCCCAGCCAGGCAGCCAACTCACTCCCGTAGACCTTTGGCTCAGCTGGCTGAGGTCGCGGCTTTTTTTCGTCTCCCAACTGCACCCAGTTTGGGCTCTGGCGGGTACTCCTGATCCAACAAGGGCTACTAAACAATCAACCACGCGCCAGGGAATGAGATCTTAAACATAAATGGCCACAGTAAGAAACGTTTGGATTCTTTTATCGGATACAATACGGTCACGGACAAGGCATTTACTTCGGAGTAACAGAACTATGAGAATGGTTGAATGGCATCAGCGTTGCGAAGAAATGAGGCCAGTCCCCCAGTCGCAGTTCAGTTGATGAAACCCGGCCACATTCACGTTCAACGAAGCTAAACTTCTTGCGAGAAGGGTGATAATAGCATGAAAAACGAACCATACCAAGCCGTTTGGGGAGTTCGCAGACGAACGTAAATTCCAACATCAGTGTTCGTAAACCAGATGTTGGAGCAATTATCGCACTAGCCGGCCACATAGATGGTAAAATATCTGCTGTTAAGCTTTCGACTGGCAGTCACCAAGCAATGTTTGCACCAAGACCAACTATCATCGATAATGTATCCTGTAAACCTTGCACATGTGTAGTGGTTGCGTCTGTCCGACGCTCTACTAACTCTTGACGCCACAGACGAGGTCACTGAGAGCACAGGACCTCGCGCAAAAGCAGTTTTCCCGCGTGCCTCGGGTCTAGTCGCAAACGGACGCTCGCCCCACCTAGCAAGCCTTCGCCCCTCTCAAGGTGGCCCCACGACCTTGAGTCTACACATAAGCCGCACTATTGGCTACTGTAACAAAGCATGCGCCGGCCATCCGGCTAGTCCCGAAGCTGTCGTCACTCCGGAATTGACGCCCTGGCAGCCGGACTGGACTCATCCGAGGGCCAAAAATCCTTCCATCTATTCTCCTATCCTTCTGCAGAATACATTATTCCTAACAATCCGGCTTTCCCACCGTCTCCTCTCCTCACCTTAAGGAACTATGGGCCTGGAAGATCGTAGCTGCTAGGGTTAACCTTCTTAGCCTTACCTCCTGCCGATACCTCCTTGTATACGAATTAGACGTATTTGATGCTGCTGGCGTGCATCCAGAAGATCGAGAGAAGTTAGCTTTCTCTCCAAGGCTCGGGTCTAATTCTCACGGCAGATAAGATAGTTCTTTGCTAAAATGAGTAAGTTTTCTGCAGAATCAACTTTAATTTACTTTTTCGGTGGAATCTTACTATGGGCCCAATAAGTTGTTATTTAAATAATCTAATGTTTTCGCAACAAAATAGCACGCCATAAATAGAAATTTATTTGTAAAGAAGAAGAAAACGCGATATCTGGAACGCGTCTTCTTCTTTACAACAAGAACCAGGGGCACGCATATTTGCTTCGATTCGTGAAAAATTTATTAACATTTCTTACTTTCTTACAGTTTATTGGGTGTGATAAATTTAGACATTTTTTACTTACTTATACTTACTAACTTACATATACTTTATAGTGTATTGGGTTTCTCGATATTCCTGAAAACAATTTGGTGGTAAGAAGGTCGTCTACTTCAACTTACCTGAGGTAGAACTTACCGTTATGCAGTTAGATTACTATATTTAGCGGCGCAAGGCGCCGAGCACAACTTCAATTAACATGCACAACAACCTTACGTTAGTTTACTTTATTTGATTTACTTAAATAACTTATATTTAAGTTCAGTGTTGAGTTCATTTTTACCTGTGCTGACATCTTCAGAGGTCCTTAGCGGGTGAACAACTTGACCCTTATTGAACTCAATGAGAATAGATGCTTCAAGACAAAAACAACTGATAATACATCTAATTCTACAGAATTATCTGGTT